AATAAATATTTCACGTATTTCAAAAAATTGATTTTGAAAATTATATAATCTAGCTTGTCCATTATCTTATCTTTTTTATCTGGAAATTATATATGATCTATTATCTTATCTATTACCATATCCATTATCTTATTTTATCTAGAAATTATCTATTATCTAAAAAATTGTCTATTATCTATTGCATCTGACTTCACAAATTTTTTCTTGCAACAATTTAATAATAAACTCGTATGTGACTTATTGTGACTCATGTGACTTTTACTGAATTTTCGATATATTTAAAATTGCATTAAATTGAATAATCCACAATCGTGCAATCCAGAACTTGAGGCACTATATCACTTTGAGGAGCTCTAAAATCCTGTTCTCATGTGCCTCATCTCAGCAAACGAAGGAAAGGGATAATGTCGTGATAATGGATCGTGGTGTTATATCCTTATCGATCGTCGGAGACAAATAAATCAGTTACGTAACGACAGTGCCGATTGCTACCGTAATTGCACTTCGTAATTGACACCCTTTGCAAGATTGTTGCATGCAATTGCTTCAATGACAGATTCAATTCCTTTTTGCCTTTAATGAACTTAATGAATATTTCAAGGTACTGTTAATGAGGCTTGAATAACTGGTGAGACAGCAGATGAACGTGATTCATACACGGTCTGTGGAGTTACTAGATAACTTCTGTCTGATAGAAGTCAATCTTGTCAATCTGTTCAGATAGTAATACTGTTAAGATGGTTAAGATAGATTGTTGAATTTAAACGAACTGCACAATGAAAAATTATGAGTATGAAACAATGAGATTTATATGCAACTGCGACTGTAAATTATTCGTTTCTGTTTATTCATTTATCTAGATATCAGTATTAGATCATCTGGCTTAAATCAATTAATTTGCTTCAATAAATAATTATAGTATTGCAATTATTATATAAATACTATATAATAGTATAACTCAGATTTATTAAATTATTAATTATTTAAGTATTGAATACGTGTAATAATAAGCATGTAAAATTACAAGAAACAAATTCAAAGATTAAATTTGAATACAAAGTGTGTTACAAGTATAGTACTATAATATTACATAAGGAATTATTTATTTAAATTATTAATTACTTAAATATTATGTGCTTGTGAATACATAAACGAAAAGTATAAGAAACAAATTAGAACGAAAAATGTATGAATTTCTATAACGCTGAGTACCAATATGGCTGATATAATCACGTGACGTATAATCTGAGTACCAATATGGCTGACGCTTACTCCATACAGATCCCATATGAATATTATTAAAAACTTCGCTTTTCTAACTGAAAATAGTCGAATTAAATACTTGGTACTGTGAAAAGTAAATGAAAGAAGATATTCTGAAAATATTTGGTAAATACTAAATTAAAAATGAAAGTACTACTTAATTGCTTCAATATGGCAGTCATAAAAATAATACAGTGTACGTATTGAGTAAGTATGGTATTACTGAAATGTATGTATTAAATATATTATTATTACAATACTCTAATTCCTTAAAAATGTAGAAATTAAATACAACAAAATATTGTGAAAATATTTGATAAAATTAATTAAAAATGAAACTACTAAAAATAATACAGTCTATCGAACAATTATACCATGCAATAAATAAACAGAATAATAAAGTATAACTCTAACATACATCAATATACTTGTACTCAATCAAAGTTTTCGTGACAGCATGATTCGAAACCATTACAATTATCGAGAAGCCATTAGCTGATATTCTCCGAAGACAAAAACATCAATGACGTTTAGTAACCTTATTTGTAACCTACAATGACGAGGATAGTATTGATCATAGTGTACCGAAATCAATTTTTAATAGGTTATATCGGCGATCGGTTAAGCGAATTGACGTTCGATCGTGAACCGGAACAGGAAGTATCAGTGGAGCGTGCAACCACATAGGCAAGGGCAAAAAAATAACAAATAACGAGGTTCATTAACTGCTGTCCTTCGGAGCATAGCGGAGATACAGCAGGGATTGTACGATCGTTAGATATCCTTTTATTCTGCGTTCAATGAAATTCGTTGTTTGATGTGTTGATGCTGGAATTGGAACTGTGATAGTTAGTGCGTTGAGGGCTCTTTATTCGTTATTGGGATTTGGAACTCTTTGGTGCGTTTTGGGGGATTTTGAATTTTGGGATTTGGAATTTTTGGAATTTGGAATTTTTGGAATTTGGGATTGTGGGAATTTGGGATTTTTGGAATTTGGGATTTTTGGAATTTGGGATTTTTGGAATTTGGGATTTTTGGAATTTGGGATTCTTGGAATTTGGGGTTCTTGGAATTTGGGATTTTTGGAATTTGGGATTCTTGGAATTTGGGGTTCTTGGAATTTGGGATTTTTGGAATTTGGGATTCTTGGAATTTGGGGTTCTTGGAATTTGGGATTTTTGGAATTTGGGATTCTTGGAATTTGGGGTTCTTGGAATTTGGGATTTTTGGAATTTGGGATTTTTGGATTTGGAATTTTTGGATTTGGAATTTTTGGATTTGGAATTTTTGGAATTTGGGATTTTGGGAATTTGGAATTTTTGGAATTTGGAATTTGAATTTGGAATTTTTGGAATTTGGGATTTTGGGAATTTGGAATTTTTGGAATTTGGGATTTTGGGAATTTGGAATTTTTGGAATTTGGGATTTTGGGAATTTGGAATTTTTGGAATTTGGGATTTTGGGAATTTGGAAATTTTGGAATTTGGGCGCTTGGAAATTTGGAAATTTTGGAATTTGGGTGGTTCAAAATTTGAGAGCTTGGAAATTTGGGAATTTTGGCGCTTGGAAATTTGGGAATTTGCGCGCTTGCAAATTTGAGAGCTTGGAAATTTGGAAACTTGGAAATTTGGGAATTTTGGCGCTTGGAAATTTAGGATTTGAAGAATTTGAAATTCAGGGAATTTGAGATTTGGAGAATTTAGAATTCTCAAATTTTAGAATTAAGACTCAATAAATAACCTTCCCATCAAACAATTACCTTAATACCAAATTTAGAAGTAAGCTAAATAAGAATTAAATACAATATTAATCTTTAAATTGACCATACACGCCATCGCACTGTTAAGGAAACAATTTCAAACATCCAACAATGTGGGTATCTAGAAAATAGTCGCTCGATTAGTTAATCGAGTATCTATAAACAATTAAACATCATTGCATAATTAACGATTTCTTCTACAACTACTGAAATTAAGATTTTAGACTTCAATTAAACCTCAGGTGATCAGCGTTCATTAAAATTAAAAATAACGTGGTTTATATAATATTCATCAATTCAGGGTACAGAGTCTCAATATAACAAAAAATGGAATTTGTTTTAATGGATCGTTTTATAATTGCGGCCAATGGCGATTAAAAATTAAGTGAAAGAAGTTATGAAAAAACAAAATGAAGGAGCAAAACGGTCAATAAAAATTCTCTGGACGTTTAAAATAGATGTAACTGTTACCGTGAAAGACCAAAATCTGGAGAATGTCGACTTTCACCGGTGAATGTCAACATTCACATAATACGTCGGTGAAAAATCGAATATTTTATTACATTCTTGTACATTCGGACCTTCACCGGTGTATGTCGACAATCACAGATATGCTCTGGTGGAGGTTCAAAAGAGAGGAGCCGACAAAGAAACGACTGGCTCTCTCCCGCCAAACCCTGTGTTCTGCTGGGAGTCAGTCAGCTTTGTCAATCTTATGCAAGCTTTAATGATGCGAGCAACGTTTTCTTAATTTTTTTTTTGCAATACCGTAATTTATACTGAATGGATACTGCAGTAAATCGTGATCTTTTTCTTGAAAAGTTAAATGCATTAATTGCGGGTACAAGGGTGACGTAAGTTTTTCGCCTTTCTTTCTGAGAGGAGAGACCAAGAATTTAAAACACATAGTACATTCTAAGCATACGTGTTCTTCCTCCGTGGCCTATTCTGGCGTGAGTTTCATATAGTATACTGAACAATTCTTCATTGGTAACATAATACTGTATATTCGTTTCCCCTGATTTTAATGGTACAATTAATTTCCTTTCATCATTAATTTTTAAAACATCAGAACGTTTTAATCGTCTGTAATCCAAAGGTGTGTTGCACTTAGTTTTAGCAGAAACCACTTCAGAAAGTATTTTAGAGTACTTTTTTTGAGAAAAATAAAAATAATTGTCTTCTCGTTTACCCGCAATTAATGCATTTAACTTTTCAAGAAAAAGATCACGATTTACTGCAGTATCCATTCAGTATAAATTACGGTATTGCAAAAAAAAAATTAAGAAAACGTTGCTCGCATCATTAAAGCTTGCATAAGATTGACAAAGCTGACTGACTCCCAGCAGAACACAGGGTTTGGCGGGAGAGAGCCAGTCGTTTCTTTGTCGGCTCCTCTCTTTTGAACCTCCACCAGAGCATATCTGTGATTGTCGACATACACCGGTGAAGGTCCGAATGTACAAGAATGTAATAAAATATTCGATTTTTCACCGACGTATTTGGTATGTGTTGACATTCACCGGTGAAAGTCGACATTCTCCAATTTCGGTCTTTCATGGTAACATAGCTACTTTAATAATGTGTGGAATTAGTCGCTGAAATTAAAATCGAAGGTTTTTAAATAAAAAAGGTTGCAATTAGAACAGTCATTAACGTGACTTACAACTGTCATTTCTCCTGGCACGTTTGATATTTTGAGTGATTGTAATTGATGCAACATTTCATCAATCGATGACATTATTGATATTTGACCTTAGTTTATGAATTTAGATTTATTAATAATTGATGGATTTATTCGGTACTTTCATAACATAATATAACAAAATTTATAAAATTATAGGAACATAAAATTTTTAATTTTTACAACATAAAATTTGATAATTGAAATGCTTTTGATAGCTATAAATTATTCTAGTCATATATTTACAAGGAATTACGTCATTTTTAACATTTATTTCATTGTCAGTTACAAATTAATAATTCTCTTGTCTTTAACTAATGATAGTCTATGTAATGTCAGGAATTTAACAAGTTTTAAAATAATAGGTCTGTCACACATGAAAACTACATCAAATGACTACAAAACTACATAAAACTAAACCTAAAATTAAAGTCGATAAAAAAGCGATCTTTTTCATGAGTTAAACAGTCAAAATTGATAAATTAGAACACTAAGTCAATCTCAAATCAAAAAAGCACGTAAAATCCCCGATAATTCCTGATATTACATTGCTACCATTAATTCAAATAACAATTAATCAATTAAGTGTAAGATCCATGATCAGTGTAATTAATACCTAGTCCAAGTCATAAGAGACTCACTTAATTATATATTACAGTAATTCTTAGTAAGAATTTCTGCAAAGAGAACTAGGAATCTTGACAGGGATTCCTGTTCACCTTCTCAGAATCAATAAAAAAATCACTTTGTCGAACAGAATCTTATATATTCTATTTTTGTTTAATCAAATTCTTACGGTTACTCGACATTCGACATTCAACTCGTGGCAATACGTCACGTGAAAATACATTGCGTGGCAATATGGCACGTGAAAATACATTGCGTGACAATACGACGCGAGACACTATGACGCGTGACAATACAGTGCGTGAGAGTACGATGTGTGACGACACGACGCGTGATAATATGACGTGTGAGCGTACGATGTGTGACAATACAACGCGTGAGAGTACGACGTTTGACAATACGACGCGTGGCGATACGACGCGTGAAAGTACGACGCGTGGCGATACGACGCGTGAAAGTACGACGTGTAATAATACAACGCGTGACAATACGACGCGTGAGAGTAAGAGACGTGACAATACAGTGCGTGACAATACAACGCGTGAGAGTACGACGTGTGACGACACGACGCGTGACAGTGCGACGCGTGAGAGTACGACGCGTGACAATACGACGCGTGATAATACATTGCGTGAGAATACGACGCGAGACAATACAGTGCGTGAGAGTACGATGTGTGACGACACGACGCGTGACAATACGACGTGCGAGAGTACGACGCGTGACAATACGACGCGTGATAATATGGCGCGTGGCAATACGGCGCGTAACAATAGGGCCGCGTGACAATACAACGCGTGACACTACAAAGCGTAGTAATTTAGCAAGTGGCGATTCAACGCTTGATAGTCTACCCCCCAACATTAGATAATCCCATACACTAACATAACACGTCGAAACTACCCAAATTTCCCCTACATTACAAACTTTACAAATTCCCACTAAGAAATTCAAACGTCATGATTGTAAAATTGCAATAAAAAGCCAATAAATACTACAATACTACAATACCAAATAATTTCGACAAAATCAAGAATCGATCCATTAGTTCACCTTCCATTAAACCGCCTCGAAGTCCTCCGTCTAGTAAACACCTCTTCCGCCATCAAACCATTCCTCAACTTCGGCAAATCGATATAACTCGTCTCGTTCCTCGAGTCGTTCATTCTGTCCGAATATTCGGACACCTGTATAGCAGGAGTAGCACGATGGGACTTTTCGACCTCTTCTGACTTCAACAACTCAGAAAAGGACAGATCCTCGAATAATTCCGGGAGTTTCCTATAAATTTTTCTCAGAGGACACTCGTAGTACGAGGTGTTCTTCGAGCTGCTTCCGCGATGGAACTTGATGGAGATGATAGAAGCTTCTTCCGTGGCGATAATTGACGGTGTACCGCTCTGATTGGTCGCCTGGAAGAGATTCATCAGGTCAGTTTGGTTCATCGTCAATCCTTTGATCTTCACGTCGCAGATCGATGTGCCGTTGATCGATTGACTCTGGATGAGGGATGCTATTTCTTGCAGGGCTTCCGCGCTCGAACATCGACGGACTTTTTGAGATTCGTTTGAGTTTTCGAGGTTGTTCTTCGTCATCGGTTCATTTTGCACGTTGGCACTCAGCCTGGTCGAGGTTGACACGTCAACTAGGCGACTCTTTTGGAGAGGCGAGTATCTTGATGTGGAATTGTGCGTGGGGACAGTTAGTCCTTCCTTGCCTGCTTCTTTTTGCACCGTCGACTTTTCGGACCTGAAATCGAATTTTATGAGCTGGATGAGCTGATGAAACGTTATATATTATTATATAGAATGTGATGAAAAAGCTATCATGAATTTTGTGAGTCATTGAACAGGTCTGCAGGGACAAAGACTGTAAGTCAAAGAGTAGATATAAGAGGCGACACTAGACAAGGAAACCTTAATCCTAGAGACAGAGGACCGATTTAAATGCCCAAATCAAAAGAATCGGGGGTGCGCATGTGCACAGTGTAGAAGTATGGCGGTCGAAAAAGAATAGTTTAAATCTGCATATTCACCAGTAATTTATTTCTAATAAATATTTTGTCATATCTCTGTAATACACTTATCCTTCATTTGTTGTGGTATATAGTTTTTCTTTTTCTCATAAGTTATTTATATTAATCATTTCCATAATACATATTCTTCAAATTTGTAGAGTAATAATTTTTGTATATTCTTTTCTTTTTCAACTTTGCAACGTCTTTTCCAACTTTTCAACGTCGTAAAATTGATAAAATACCTCGAAAGACAATATTAGTAATATACAAAAAATTTATTACAAATATATTCCAAATTATTGGAGATTGACATGAAAGTAGTTTTGCTCGATTTAAATTTCCCGCTCGTTTGTACAACCAATTTAAAAGGACAGTGTCGTCCATTTTAACTTGACTGTTGCCATATTTATGTTCGATTATAAGTCTCATAGTATTTCGGACTATTTTAATGCAACGAACCTAGATTATGATACTGAAATATAAAAGCGAATAGTAATACAAAGGCCTCAGAAAAATAATTGTCCTCCAGCTGAAAAGAAAATGAGGATTGTTGATAAGTTTGCGTGCGAACCTCGAGCAAATTAGCGTCCTCTTTAAGTTCTTCCATTTTTTGACGGCGACCGATGACAGCTTCCTGACTTTTTCATCGGCCAAATTGCTTTGACTGGAAGTTAATCGCGAAGAATTGCTGTGAATATGTCCGTGAATATCAGAAGCCTCATTCGACGACGATGATGAAGGATTCACTTCGACCTGTGCCCGCACCACTTTTGAGCTTCCACATAATTCTGTCGAGGAACTCTTAATTCTGTTTAGTTTACCTCTCATCGCAGATGACCATATCTTTGTTGATGTTCTGAAATATTTTTTATTTGGTGTAACTGGTATGGAGAAATATAGGTATCTGAAGAAATATACTATTTCGATAAAAATATATTGACTTGACAAAATAGATGAGGTTGAGGAAGTATATAAATTTGAAGAAAAAGTTTGATGAAATATATAAACTTGAAGAAATATACAAGTTTGAGAAAATATATTAATTTGAAAAAATATAAGAAATTGAAAGAATATACAAACTTGAAGAGCAAGTTTGCAGAAATATATAAATTTAAAGAACAAGTTTGAATAAAAATATAAAGTTGAAGAACAAGGTTGAAGAAATATATAAACTTGAAAGAATATACAAGCTGGATAAAAATATATTAATTTGAAAAAATATGCAAACTTGAGGAGCAAGTTTGCAGAAATATATAAATTTGAAGAACAAGTTTGAATAAAAATATAAAGTTGAAGAAATATATGTATAAATTTGAAGAAGTATACAAGTTTGATAAAATATATAAATTTGAAGGAATAAAGAAGCTTGATAAAAATATATTAATTTGAAAAACTGAATGAAGTTGAAGAAGTATGCAAACTTGAAGAACATATTTGAAGAAATGTATAATATTCTTATGAATAACAAATGAATACCTCTTTTGATTAAGAGATGTCTTATACGGAACAATCCGTGATTCCTTCGTGGAAACTTGTCCTACATCTCGCACAACTTGTTTCGTTTCCTTGCTTTCTTTCGGATCGGCAGAATTTCGTGTATCATCGCATGCATCAGATGTTGTCTTGTTCGTGAACTCGTTTCGACAAGGATGCGTTATTTTGATGTGAATCAAAGGAGATTCACTTTCGAATGATTCACTCTTATCGAAACACTTGTTGCTTGTTCCTTGAAATATTAATGCATTCGTTGTTGAAAGCATAAGATTATAGTTTGAAAATTTTCTAATTTGGAAATTTAGGAAATTGGAGAGTCAAAGAAGTAGAAAATTGAGGAATTTGAAAATTTGAGTGATTAGAAAATTGAGAAATTTAGAAATTTAAAAATCGAGAGATTGTAGAATTTGGAAATTTAAGAACTGGAGAAATGAGGAATTTGGAAATTCAAAAATTGGTGAATAAAAAAATTTTTAAATTTAGGAATTGGAGATCAGAGAAATTTGAAATATTTATGAACTAAAAAATTTAAGAATTTGGAAATTAAGGAATTTTGAATTCCAAGAATTGAATTCCAAGGATTTGAGAAAATAAAAATTTCGAGACTTGACAATTTAAGAAAAATTTGTAATTTTGATTTCTAATAAGAACACGAAAATTTGGAATATAACTATCCAAAAAGGCATAATCATTACTCACCACCATCCTCCGCAGTAATCAATAAAATACTTAATCCATACCCAATAAAATATCGATCACGTTAACCAATAATTTAACAACACACTCACCACACTTTTCTCTAAACTTCTTGCAGTAATAAAATGGTCCAACACATGCCGTAATCGTACCAACTATCAACGCTGCCACAAATTTCACTAGCATTCTGATCGTTCCTATCAATTGCAATTACCGAAGAAATACTATACGTTCAAGAAGAAATGCCAGGGAGTACTACACGAGCGATACAAACTGTTTCACATTCTTAATGGATTCCACTGCCATGAAAAACTCAATGTCAAGTTGACAAACATTGCAGACTTTCTGTGTATAGTGAGAACAGAGAGTGAGTGTAAACCTTGCAGTCATGACATTTGTATATTTAAGAGGAAGACAGAAGAGGAAGAGGTATAATAGTATAACATTACTCAATTAACTCTTTTACTGCCATTTCACACATGTTTCTGTTCACATGAAAATCATTTGTATTTGTAAATCATTCATATTACTCTTTTATATTAGGAATTTGTAGAGTAGTTGGAAATATGTATATTCACAATTTTAAATTGAATAATAGATATAATAAAATATTGTGAAAATATTTAGAAAGATTAGAATTAGAAATTTTATGTAATTTTGAACTGTTGGTAGTGTGTTAAGGTACAGATTAAGAATGTAGAGATGTCAACCCAGGAGTTGGCGCATGTTCGACTCAAAGGAGAAACTCTATTCCTACTATGAACACTTCATGTGTCAATTGCGCGTGATAATACGGTGCGTGACAATACGACACGCGAGAGTACGACGCGTGACAATACGATATGTGAGAATACGACGCGTGAGAGTACGACGTGTGAGAGTACAACGCATGAGAGTACAACGCATGAGAGTACAACGTGTGAGAGTACGACGTGTGACAATACGACGCGTGGCGATACGAAGCGTGAGAGTACGACGTGTGACAATACGACGCGTGGCGATACGAAGCGCGAGAGTACGACGTGTAAGAATACGACGCGTGGCGATACGATGCGTGGTGTTACGACGCGTGACAATACAACATGTGAGAGTACGACGCGTGAGAGTACGACGTGTGAGAGTACGACGCGTGACAATACGATGCGTGAGAGTACGACGTGTGAGAGTACAACGCATGAGAGTACAACGCATGAGAGTACAACGTGTGAGAGTACGACGTGTGACAATACGACGCGTGGCGATACGAAGCGTGAGAGTACGACGTGTAAGAATACGACGCGTGGCGATACGATGTGTGGTGTTACGACGTGTGACAATACGATGCGTGGCGATACAACGCGTGAAAGTACGACGTGTGAAAGTACGACGTATGACAATACGACGCGTGAGAGTGCGACGTGTGTAACAATACGATGCGTGGCGATACGACGCGTGACAATACGGCGCGTGGCAATACAACGCGTGACAATACAACACATAGTAATTTAGCGAGTGGGTCCACTGAAAATATATTTCCGCATTGTCCTTCTAAAAATGCACCTAAATTTGTTTCAAACAACTACTATTTCAAATTTCTAAGTGTCCAATCTTACAAATATTTTAGTTTCCATATTTTTATCCAGTTGATTCAAGTTTCAAAGCTTCAAGCTTTCTGACCAGGTTATGCCCACCATTCGCCCCAGTTAAATAAAAAAAATCAGGGAATTAATGCTCCGCATAATTTATGGGACCTCATCTTGTGATAATTTAAGAAAAAAATTAGAAGTCCAAATTTTACAAATCTAATCTTGACCCAGTGGGTGCCTGTCAATACAGAAAGGCGCGGATTTCCGAGGGCTGCCTTAGCTTAAAAAGCGATCAATGACATTGGAGCGGACGCGAGTGAAAGACACTTCCTCGTGGGCCTACGTGTCCTTTCAGAGAGTCACGAATTGATTGGTTAAACATGAAATCAAGGACAAACATTGGAAACGGAACGGCGCAAGTGTGACCACGGGTCACATCGATGAAATGTGTTCTGCATATACAGGGTGTTTCACAAACTTTGTTATAAGGTCTGAGTTACTTTGACATTTAATGATAAGGTGTTGGGAAGATAAAATGATTATTTGGTACAAATATTAAAGTTCTCAAGGTTATATTTTTCAAGGTTTGAAATACTTGTATTTAATAATAATTGTACTTTATTGTTATACTTGTATTATACAATGACAATAAACACTTGTATTATAATACATTTTATAACAAATTCACAAAGTTAACAAAAATATTTTTAAATAGCCCAAACCTTCATGAATAAAACAAAAAAAAAAAAATTTAGCTAAATCGGTTAAGTAGTTTCTGAGAAAAAAAATTCCTAAGTGGACCCTATTTTCGCCAAAATGGGTAAAAATTGCAAACTTTGACGGCTTGTCATTCATTAACAAATTCGAAACCAACAAAATAGTGACTTAAACTCCCCTTATTTCACATGGACTACAACATATTTCGATTAGAACAAAATCGGAGATGATGACTTCCAAAAGTGATCGATTTGGCGTGGAATGACCCTTATACAATGATCACATCACATCACTACCACATTTTCTTGTAATTTTCGTTTATATACATACTTTGTGTTAATATTTATTTTTCTATTGTTTTATCGAAACGAGGAAATCGCTTTGTAAGAGTTTGAAACGCCCTGTACATGTCAGGTGTTAAACAGTGAGGCAAACGATTTCATCGGAATATTTGTAATACATTGAACGCTACTAAACGATAACATCAAACAAAACGCGGCGCAATGAAAATAATTAAGATTTTAAATATACGAACTAATTTGCTGTTCTTTATTCAAGATGTTAGATAAATTGACTTTCGTTTAAGCAATAGCACCTGTTTCCATTGAGGTAATATCAGGTTCATAACTGAAAAGCGTACTATTGATTAACTTTACAGCGAATAATTTGCGAAATATTTCCAGATTTTCACTTCAGATATAAATTTGTGTTGCTAAGAATTTGCTTATAATTTGTTTAAATATTCCTATGAAATACTCTCAAAACAAGATAAACAATAAAACTGAGAATTTACTATTGATTAATTTTACACTGAATAATTTGCAAAATATTTTCTGATTCTTATTTCAGAATTTTAGATATAAATTTGCACCGCTAAAATAAATTTGCTTACAACTTGTTTAAATAATTAAGTACAATGAAACTCCGAGAACACTAAACATTTCCTGTGAAATACTCTAAAAACAAGATAAACAATAAAACTGAGAATTTACTATTGATTAATTTTACACTGAATAATTTGCAAAATATTTTCTGATTCTTATTTCAGAATTTTAGATATAAATTTGCACCGCTAAAATAAATTTGCTTACAACTTGTTTAAATAATTAAGTACAATGAAACTCCGAGAACACTAAACATTTCCTGTGAAATTCTCTAAAAACAAGATAAAAGATAACACAGTAATTTGATGTCTCAACAAAAGACCCAGCCGTCGAACAAAAACAAAGACAGAATAAAAATAAAGTTCACAAATAACACATCTATGATGAATCAGCCTAGCAGCTCACACATTTCGATCTTACCGTACCGGTTGATCAAGTTCCTAAAAATAACATGAATTTCAATCGAACTATAATTGGCATCCTAATTACCATACGCTACTATGCCGTAACAATAAACAGGTCCGTATAATGGATACCTAAATATAACGTAGACCAAAATGAACACCCACTATTTTTAACCTAGCATGATATGATTTTCTAAATGTGGACTATTGGCTGTTGCAAGCATTGTGACGTGAAAAAAGAAAGTTGAAATATATGTCTTCACTATGCAAATTATGTGTACTTCACACTGGACTGCATTTTACTCAGTGATAAGGTTTGTCACGTTTGAACTTTAAGACAGAAGTTACGAGCGCGTTTGACATTATAGGGATTTTTAGAGGGGCTTTGGAGACAATCACATTCTAACTTTGAAATTTTCTAATCAATCTGATAACACTTTATAATATAATTATAGTGTATTGTTATAGGGATAAAATGGTATGAGGATTTGGGGAGATAGAGATTCTGAAGTAAAGGTAATTTTACATAGGGAATTTGGGGACGTAGGAATTTCGGGACACAACAAATTTCGTACGTAGGGATTTCGGGATATAGAAATTTGGGGATGTAGGAATTTCAAGATCTAGGGATTTTGGGATATAGGAATTTCGGGACATTGGAGATTTTGGAATATAGAAATTCAGTCTAGTAATTTAATAATCTAGTAATCTAGGAATCTAGTAATTCAGTAATCTAGTAATCTAGTAATCTAGTAATCTAGTAATCTAGTAATCTAGTAATCTAGTAATCTAGTAATCTAGTAATTCAGTAATCTAGTAATCTAGCAATCTAGTAATCTAGCAATCTAGTAATCTAGCAATCTAGTAATCTAGTAATTTAGTAATCTAGTAATCTAGTAGTTCAGTAATCTAGTAATTCAGTAATTATAAATTTGATAACTTGGTAATTTGTAATTTGTAATTTTG